TCCAGCAGACACCCTCCGATGACCCAAATCTTGCAAAACACCACAAAGTTTTGGGCGAGATGTTCGACATGAAGTATGAACAGTCACGGGATTTGAAGGATCTTGAGGCCACATTGGAACACAAGAAGGAAGCTATGGCCCTCACCCATGGGCATCCTGACAGAGCTGGATATTCGGAAAGCCTTGCGAGGTCCCATGGTGAGCGGTATCGGATGCTAGGTGGCCTCGGAGATCTTGAAGTGGCACTGCAGTGTGACCAGGAAGCTGTGAACCTCACCCCTGAAGGAGATACAGACAAGGCTAGGCGGTTACACAACCTCGGAGTGTCTTACTCTGATCGATATCAGAGGCTCGGTGACCTGGTGGATCTGGAGAGAGCATTGCACCATAATATGGAAGTAGTAGAACTCACACCAGAAGGCCACCCAGACAGAGCTGGGTATCTGCGACACCTTGGAGCATCCTACACTAGTCGATATCAGTTCCTCCGTGACATGAAAGACCTAGAAACAGCAGTACAATACCAACGGGTAGCTCTGAACCTCACGCTGGAAGGTCACCATGACAGACCAGAGCATCTACAAAGCCTTGCAGTTTCTTACACCCATCAATATCAGCGGCTGGGTAACCCAACAGATCTTGAAATGGCATTGCAGTACAACCGGGATGCTGTGGACCTCACACCAGAGAGCCACCCTGACAGAGCACGGTATCTACAAAGTCTTGCAGGTTCATACATTCATCAATATCAGAGACTGGGTGAACCAAAATATCTTGAGGCAGCATTGCATTATGATCAGGAGGCTGTGGATCTCATACCAGAAGGTCATCCCGAGAAAGCTGGGCATCTACAAAGCCTTGCGGTGTCTTACAGTCATCAATATAAAAGACTGGGTGACTTGAAATACCTGGAGGCAGCTTTGCATTGCAAACAGGCAGCATTGGATCTTGTGCCGGAAGGTCATTCTGACAGAGTTTGGCATCTGCAAGGCCTTGCAGTTTCCTACAGTGATCGATATCAGAGGCTAGGTAATCTAGCAGATCTTGGAGTGGCATTGCAGTACCACCAGGCAGCTGTGGACTTCACACCAGCGGGCCATCCTGACAAAGCTGGGCATCTACGAAACCTTGCCATATCTTACACCAATCGATATCAAAGGCTAGGTAACCTGAAAGATCTTGAAGCAGCATTGCAATATAAACAAGATGCTGTAGATCTCACATCAGAAGACCATCCTGATAGAGCTAAACATCTCCAAAGCCTTGCATTTGCCTTCAGTGAGCGGTATCGGATCTGCAATGACCCCAAAGATCTCAAGGCTGCATTGCAATATGACCATGAGGCTGTGAACCTTACACCAGAAGGACATCCTGACAAAGCTGGGTGTGTGCACAACCTTGGAGTTTCTTACTCTGATGGATATCAGAGGCTGGGTGACCTGGATCATCTGGAGAAAGCAGTGCACTTCCAACAAGTAGCTGTGAAACTCACCCCAGAACACCATCCTGCCAAAGCTGGACGTCTGCAAAGCCTTGCACTTACTTACACTGACAGATATCAGAGGCTTGGTGACCCAGAAGATCTCGTGGCCATTCGGACTCATTTCCGAGCCTCTTTAAACATAATGACTGCGGCTCCCGAGCAATCCTGGAACAATGCTCTTCGCTGGGCTTCATTTGCAGCACAGTTTGATCCTGCATATTGTATCACTGCCTTCAGAGGTGCATTCCGTGTACTCCCAGAAATCCTTTGGATAGGTCATTCAATTCCAGTTCGTCATGATGCTGTAAACAGACTCGACATCTCCCAGACCACCTCCACTGCTACAAAGATCTGCATCAACCTCTCTGATCTCGGGTCTGCTGTAGAAATTATAGAACAAGGACTGGGAACTGTGTACCAACAAATCCTGCAGCTCAAAATAGCAACTGATGGACTTCCTCCTGAACAGGCCCAGTCCTTCCAGCACCTCTCAACAGAACTCTATACTAGAGGTTCCGATCCTTCCATGAGTCTTGCAAATGACAGAAATAAATTGATCGAAGATATTCGCAAGCAACCAGGCTTTGAATTTTTCTTACTTCCCAGACCATACAAGGTTCTTTGCCGGGCAGCACAAGGGGGGCCTGTTGTTATCTTGAACAGTCACCAAGATAGTTGTGATGGAATCATAATTCTGAGCTCAACAGAGGCAGTTCATGTTGCACTTCCAAATGTCACACTCAATTTGCTACGTTCACAGAGAATTACACTTCAGAACCTACATGGTCGTAGAGTTCGAGGTGAATCAGCATCAACCAGATTGTTTGCACAGCAAGAAGGATGGCTGTCCACTGCAGAACAGTTTGAAACTATGCTGACTTGGCTCTGGAGTTTTATTGTCAGTCCTGTATATCAAGCTCTGCAACTGGTGAGTGAAATGTTGATGGTTAATAGTCATGATATTGATCCTCTCTAGTATGGCATTCAACATGGCCGAGTCTGGTGGCTGCCCACTGGAGCATTCACTGGACTTCCCCTGCATGCATGCCCTCCTAATGACCAGTTCATCCATTCATATACTTCAACACTCAGTTCCCTTTTGGACGCCCATTCAAGGAAGACCTCCAACAATGGAGTAAAGGTTGGTGTTGTTGGAGTAAGTCATACTGGGCCAGGACGACAAAGATATCTTCCTGGAGTGCTTGAAGAGGTCAAAAACATTCTTTCGTCAGTTCCGGCACCTTATGTGGAGTGTCTTGAAGGCCAACAGTCCACAGTAGATGCTGTAAAGCATCAGCTACACAATAGCTTGGATCCATTTAGCCTGCCATGGAACACAGGATTTAACTGAACCAACCAAAAGCCACCTCTTGCTCTACGGTGGAAACTTGGAGTTGGAAACTATCCTTAAGATGCCTCTCTCAAATTCTGAGGTTGTGTTCCTAGCTGCTTGCCAAACAGCCATGGGGGACAGAAAGCTGGTGAATGAATCATTTCATCTTGGTGGAGGATTCATTGCTGCCGGTTTCCGAGGGGCAGTTGGAACCCTGTGGTCAATGGATGATCGCGATGGGCCTTTCGTCGCAAACTATTCTACTCGCACCTATTTGACAATGGCCGACAGCCACAGGCAAGTGATGCGGCTGAGGCATTGTATCTTGCTATTAAGGAGTTGCGGAGAATGAAAGTCTCATATGAACGCTGGGTTCCATTCATTCACATGGGAATTTGATACAGGCTACCATGTTCTTTCGTTAGGTAGCCCTAATTTTGTTGCGGTATAAATGAAACCGGAGTCATCACGTCCCATGCGAAATTCACGGGTGACCATTCCTGCGGGACCCGAGGTCACAGAAGTCCAAGCAGAAGGTGGGTTACAAACGGATAAGTGAGTCCCTGTATTCTACTTCCTTTTATACTACGGAACCTGCCGATTAATTCCTCGGGAGTGCATCAGTAATCCGACTGTGATTACTGATCCACATTCTAACATCCCACACCGGTAGGATTTAAGCTTTTCCCCAGGTAACACGTCCGATCCCAGATAGTCTAGCTAAACATGCAAAACTTATTCCAGGGAACAAGTGAAATTGGTCTGATTATTGGTGGTGCAACGCCTTTGCCTCAGCTGTTTGGGATGAATCGGGTTCCCAACTACAACCCATTTTCCGGGCCAAGACTGCAAGCCGCCTCCTTTGAAACTAGTGCAGATTGGGTTGGGTGCGGGCTGAATCAGCCCAAGCTATCCGAGGATTATTCTCCCGATAAAATAAAAGCAAGTTCACGGACTCTGTATTTCGGGAACCGCAGTCTTATCTACGTGGCACAGTCCCTGTGCCTCTCTGGCGCCCGGCGACGAGTTGCATACAGCCAGGAAGAAAATCTTTATCGGCCGATCCAAAAAAAACCGCGGAAACTCTGAATGACGGGGACCCGAATCGAATGACACCCAATACCCGCTCCACCCTGGGCTATCCTGTTGGGTGTCTCTCATTCTCACCCTGAGTATCTAAATATATTGAATTACTTTGGACACGGGAACAATGGATTGCGGACGTTTGAGTTCTGTGAATAATCAATGTCCCAGAAAGTAAATGCACGATGCCCAGGGGACAACTGGGATCAGCTGAATTTAGTCCCCGGTGCAGCCGCCTTTTCTTCGGCGCGTGCAACCTAGCCTGAGTTGATTTTCTTGTCTTTCCATTTTGAACGCCGACGATCGGCCGATGATCGCAATCGTGATGGCATCACCCATCTCCTTCTCACACTCGTTCCGGACAGCTGCTTCCTGGGATCACTGGCGTGATCGTCGGCCTCCACCGCCCTTCGCAAGTCAGGACTGTCATCTGGTGCATTGCTGGCGCCCAAAATCCTGCTTCCGGCACGACCTGCCTAGGGCTGTGCGCGGGTACGGCGCTGGTTCGACGGGTATCCGACCCATTCCGTCGAGGAAAAACTTCGACGAGACGGCGACAGGACGGATTTCTCAGTCGACGGCCGTCGACGGGTGACCGACGGTGACGGGTTCTGGTGGTACTTTGCACCCAAATCATCGCATATTTTGATAACTTTGCGCGTCTCGATGGTCTCCTGCCTCTCGACATTTTTTCCATTGGTTTGCCGGTATCGGCATGACCACAATTCCCTCGCCGTTTGCGGAAGAGTGTCGATCACCTGTTACCAATTTGGGTCGACTTCAACATCTGGCGTTCAAGTTGGTGTATCTTCCCCGGAACGGCACAACACAGTGCCTGCATGCAGATGATCATTCCGTGGTCTCATTTCACTCCGTAGAATTTTTTTTTTTTGGGAGAAGGAAGGTGGCTTTCGGTTCTATTCAAGTGGAGAAATTCAAAATACCAAAAGACTGAGCTTCGGGGTGAATTGGAACAAGTTTCCGGCCGAGATACTTCGGATTATCCACTTTTATGAAGGCGACCCCGTCTCGACAGCCGTGACGGCCGTCCCGCCACCCGTCTCGTCCCTTAGACAATTTATCTGGCCCTGCGACGGACGGCGACGGTGACCCCGACTCGAACGAGGAGCCTCCTACTTGAATGGAACACAGAGATTATTTTCATAGGCGCACTAACCAACTGTGCCATCAAGCCATTGCTTGCATTCCTACTTTATACTTATCTCCAAGTCCGAATCTCACCGTTCGAGACTCAACGCACACACACAACCAGTCACGACAACAGATAACAAACGTAACAAATGCAATTTAACGATAACACGACAGTGTCCATACCTCTCTACCTTTTACCCCTTCCCGCACACCGCTCCTCTCCACTTTTAGGTAACCTACTGTACACTCGTACAACTCAAAATCCCCTCCTTCCCCCAAAGGAGAACCCTGTCCCCCCTGCCGACCCTCCCCCGGCGCCGGTGTCGCACCAAACGAAAACCCGCCTCCCTGCTGTGCAGGCTGTTGCGCCGGCGCCGGCGCCCCTGCAAACGAAAACGCGGGAGGCTGCGCTTGCTGTGCCGGCGGCGGCGCACCCCAAACGAGAACGCTCCCGGCCCAGGCTGTTGCTGAGCAGGCTGCCCCGCCAAACGAAAACCCCCCACCCGCACCCGCCCGGCGTCGATATCGGCGTCGGCTGCTGCTGCTGCGGGGTAGGTTGCGTGCCCCACGTCGACGTCTGCGCCCCGCCGCCGAATATCGACTGCGGTTGTTGCTGTACCGCCTGCACGGGTTGCCGCGGCGCGAATATCGGCTGTGCGGCCTGGACGCCGAACGCGGGTTGGGCCGTCTGCGCGCCGAATATCGAGGGCTGCTGCGGTGTCGAGAAGAGACCTGGCGCGGGCGCGGAGGCGGACGGCGGTGCGAATGGATTGACGGGCGGTGCGAGAGGGTTTATGGAGGTGGACGGGGCAGATGTGAGGCCGGCGAAGATTTGCGCGGAGGTGAGCTCGGCGCCGGTGCGGAGGAAGGAGAGACGGAGTTCCTGTTAAGGGGGAGACCGAGGCAACGCGGACAACGTTAAAGTGTACCGGATGGGAAGGCGAATAACGCAACATCAGAGCGCAATTGGATTGGATTGGTCGGAATTGCGAAACGCGGAAGTTGGACGGAGAGTCAACAAAGTGGTAAGCGGGAAGGGGATCGAGAGTAACGCAGGCGCGAAGTTCGGTGGGATACAGAGAGCACGAAATGCGGGAACACGCGACGTTAGTGCACGACGTCAACGGCAGCGGACGGCAACGATAACAGTAAAAAGAATGGAAGATATTGGGTCAGAAACGGAGTGAGAAATGTCAAACGCCACGCACCTCGACGCTATGGCCCGCAAATTCTGGGCGGCAGGTAATGGTCTGGAACTGATCCCCGTCATTTTGTGCCGGTAGCGGAGCTACGGGGAGCCCGGGAAACGATGGTATTTGAGCAGCAGTGGGTGCGGGGAGGGCCTCTAAGGGGAACATGGGCATTCCTGGGGGAGGGGCGCGCATGCCACGGAGGTAGGCGTGATACCGGAGTTCCTGCAAGTCGAGTCAGTGGCAAAGAAAGTACAAAAAGAGCGCAAACGCACCTCATGACTCCAATGGCTATACTCCCCCGCCGCCGCAATACTCACAAACCTCTCACTCTCCGGCGCTGACACCGGCGCGCTGAACGTCTGCGGCAGAGGCAGACGCGCGGGGTCCGTAATTGCCGCTGCTGTACTCGTGCTTGCCCCGCCAGTTACGCCGCCAAAAATCGACGCCGATGTACCTAGGACTGATGTGGATGGCCCAGCGGTACCGGGGAACGGAGTGGGCACAAAGAGCGCTGGAAGGCCTTGGGCTGTGCGCGCGGCGGGCTCGGTGGGGTATGGTGGACATGGCTGCGGTGGGCGCCTGTTGCACGATAGGACGCGAGGTAGTCTGCTATGCGTACTTCCTGTGTCCAATTCAGTCATTGCACGATCCAAAAGTCAGCACGGAATTCAAAGCCAATAAGAACTAATCGCACCTCAAAGCACTGGACTGCGGCCCAGAAAGAACGGATATTTGAAGAGACATGCAA